TAGAGCTTTTCGAGGCCATCTCACCCAGAGTGGATAGAGGGGAGCCAGTAACAGTGTTGTACTGTATTTGGAGTCCCAGAAGGTGTTGGACAGGGTACCCCTCAAAAGGTGGTCATAAGTGCCCAAAGTGTTAGAGGGTAGTATATTGGCATGGATAGAGAATTGGCTAAGCAGTGAGGATAAAGGATTATTTTTTCAGACTGATGACCTGTGACTGGTAGAATTCTACATGGATCAGTGCTGGGCACAGCCACTGTTTGCAATACATATTAATGGCTTGGGCAAAAGATGTGAATGCGCTGTAGTCAGATTTGCAGACAACTCAAAACTAGATTGAAAGACCGAGATGGATGCAGTTTACAGAGAGATATTGATAGTTTAACTAAGTGGGTAAAATGTTGGCAAATAGAGTATGATATGGGAAATTCAGTGTTTATTTTAGAAGGGGGAACAAGAAAGTATATTTAAATAGAGAAGCTGCAACACAAGGAGACTTGGGTCTACTTGTGCACGAAATATGTAACGCTAGCACACAGGTACAGCAGGTAATCCGGGAGGTTAGGGAATGCTGGCCCTTATTTCAAGCTGGTTGAAGTATAAAATAGTCTTACTGCAATTGTACAAGGTGCTGGTGAGATGACATCTGGAGTACTGTGAAAGTTGTCTCCCCCATTTAAAGTAGGATAACATTTCATTGGAGGCAGTTCAGAGAATGTTCTGTAGGATGATTCTTAATATGGTGGGTTGTCTTAAGATCAAATGCTAAACAGGTTGGGACTCTACTCGCCAAAGTTTAGAAGAATGAGAGGTGATCTCATTGAAACATATAGGATTCTTAAGGGGCTTGACAGGGTAAATGCTGAAAGGACGTTTCCCCTCATGGGAGAGTCTAGGACCAGAGGGCATTGTCTCAATAAAGGAGCATAAATTTCTGAAGAAGGGTCCAGACCCGAAACGTCAGCTTTCCTGTTCCTCTGATGCTGCTTGGCCTACTGTGTTCATCCAGCTCTACACCTTGTTATCTCAGCATAAATTTAAGACTGAGGAGGAATATCTTCTGAGGGTTGAGACCCTTTGGGACTCCTTGCCACAGCTGTGGGCGCAGAGTCCTTGTATATTTAAGGCTGAGATAGATTCTTGATTGAAAGGGGAATTGAGGATTACGTGGTAAATGCAGGAAAGTGATCGTATTGATTGGTATAGCAGGCTCGTGGGGCTGAATGGCCTACTCCTGTCCTATTTGTTATTGTTTTACTTTAACTGTCCGGTTGTTTACAATCGTTCTGGCAATGGTTACTGCAAATTGCAGAATTTGAAATGTAATTGGAAGCTTTTTATCTCATCATGGTCTGTTTTGCCCATGGGATGAGCTCAGCTGCACAGTAAGGTTACATTTGATTTTCTACTTCCCTCATGATGCATGGTACCAAAGGAAAAAAGCATTTTGAGAACCTCTTGCTTCTTTCGAGGAAAGTATGCACTAATATTTGGGCCTAGCTACTGCTGAAACCTAGGTAGCAGCTGTTATGAGGAGGAGGTTGACCCTCCTCTGAGAACTAAAACCAAAACACCCAGAGAGGAACACTTTGCCCTATAATCGGAAATAAAAGGGGTGTGAAAAGTGGTGTAACCTGCCCTTCAGCAACTTCAAGTGGTTAAATAAAACCAATCCCTGACACTCACTTTTCAATCAACAAGTAACAATTTATCTAACTCTAAAAGGAAAAAAAATGACTGAATTATTAACAAACCGAATAAACCATTTCTAATTACTAACTTCCTGAATAAAGCAAGATTCTAATAATATTCTGTTTGAATAAATGCAAGTCCAGTTATATTAAGTAAAAAAATAGAATTTAGTCTCTCGAAATTATAGCCAGGTTACGTATCTTCCAGAATATTCTGTGCCCTCTCTTGTTGATTTCTTCTGTCAGGAATCTTAACTAGTTGTGCTACGGGAACCTTTTGTTATTTGAATGGTGCTTTCTCCTAAGACTTAAAGGAGTCTGTCAGAGCCAGTGGCTCTCTCTCTCTCTCGAGAGAGAGAGAGAGAGAGAGAGAGAGAGAGAGCTGAGGGCTGCTAGCTCTGGCGGATGGCAGTTAACTCTGGGGCTTTATCTAACTGCCCCTCCGCCCCACCACCACCTTTCATTCCCTTGATGACATGTCAGTTTCTTACAATAGGATTGGTCCTATGTTGTCAAAACCATCAGATTTAAATTTAATTGGTTTTTGGTGTCTAAGTGCCTGGTTCAAATCGATTTGGCTAAATTCAAAACTTGTTGCCTTGGTTAAAAACTGCTGCTTGGCCTGCCAACTGAACAACCTTGGATACAAGCGTTTCAATTTGGTTGCTCGGTGTACTTGCAAACTTTCAAGCTGCTGCTCACAGACATCCATTCTAAATCTCAACATAGAAAAAGCACATGATCTTTTAAAGGGACCACTTAATACTAACACCCCCACCCCCAGCATTTTACAGGCACCAAACCCTAACTTCCTGCCTCCCAATCCACAAGTATTCTATCCAACTTTGCAACACAGCCATTCGTCATAGTTTAGTAAAATTTACATTGTACAAAATTCAAAATATTTATGAACTTATGTACTAAACTGCAAGTTAGGCACTCATGTAGGCTAAGTTTACAAGCCTGCTGCACCATGCAATGAACTGACATGTTGTGTTTCAAATTCTACACTTCTATCTACTCCTGATGAGTTTTGAATATTTTTAAGGCAGAGTTTGATTTTCTCGTCTGACAGAAATCTATGATCCCACCTTCACTGTCTACTGAGGCACAATTCTCCAAAGTGTCTCAATCCTCGGGGGGGAAAAGAAAATCCCCTTATCTCTTCCTCTGCTGCTCCAAGGGAAAAAGTCCTAGCCTACTCAGCCTCCCCCATAACTCAAACACTCCAGTACCAGCAACATGCTTGTAAATCTTTTCTGTAGCTTCCAGTTTTAACAACATCCTTCCTATTGAAGGGCAACCAAAATTGTATGCAGTATTCCAAAAGTGGCCTCACCAATGTCCTGTACAGCTACAACATGACATCTCAACTTCTTTACTCCATGTTCTGACCAATGACGGCAAGCGTTCCAAACGCTGCCTTCTCCACCCTGTCTATTTGCGACTTCCCTTTCAAGGAACTACGCATCTGCATCCCAAGTCTTCTTGTTCGGCAACACTCCCCAGGGCCCTACCATTAACTTTATAAGTCCTGCCCTGGATTGCCTTAGCAAAATGCAACATCTCACATTTATCTGAATTAAACTCCCATCTGCCACACCTGCCCATTGATCACAGTCTCATTGTACTCTGAGAAAATCTTCTTCACTGTCCACTACGTCACCTATTTTGGTGTTACCTGCAAACTTACTAACCATGACTCCTACATTCACATCCAAATTATTTATATAAATAACATAATTCAGTGGATCCAGCACTGATCTTCGTGGCACACCTCTGGTCACAGATATTCAGTCCAAAAGACCCAGGCCTCTGTCTCCAACCTTCAAGCCAATTTTATATCCAGTTGCCTAGCTCTCCTGAATACCATGTGATCTAACCTAACTCACCAGTCTACCATGTGGAACCTTGTTGAATGCTTTGCTGAAGTTCATTTCCAGGGAGTTAAAATACAAGAGATGTACTGCTGAGGCTGTATAAGACTCTGGTCAGATCATATTTGGAATATTGAGAGCAGTTTTGGACCCCATATCTAAGGAAAGATGTGCTGGCATTGGAGGGGGTCCAAAGTAGCTTTACAAGAATGACCCCAGGGATGAAGGACTTGTCATATGAGGAGCATTTGAAGCCTTCCTAATCTCCATCTGTCTCCATGACTCTGAAGTATCCTCAAACTGACCTCCAGATTAATATTAGAGATAGTAGGAACTGCAGATGCTGGAGAATCTGAGATAACAAGGTGTAGAGCTGGATGAACACAGCGGGCCAAGCAGCATACTGATC